AGAGTTGGCTCAAAGTTTCAATTGTGACTCGACTGAGGTAATGAGAAAATGGAAAATTATTTTGGCTCAGTACCGAAGAGAAAAGAAGAAAATAGCGGATTCAAAATCTTCAGGTTCTGGGTTTTCAGATATATTATTTGTTATTTTATATTGTTTCAAGGTGTAATGTTACTTTCTTTTGCAGTCGTGCTAACACAAATTTGATTTTGAAATCACCTGAAAGGGTTATGTGTTTGAATTATAATAGTATTTGTAAGTTTTATGACATATTTTTATATTCTATTTCGGAGTCAAAATGTGTTCTGCTGGAGCGCCTTAGCTAGTTTTATAAGTTAGGCTTTTGAAATATTTCTAATTTAAGATTTTGGCCTATAAATGGAATATTATCTGTTGGGCAATAAAAGCTATAAATAAGCCTTATTGAAACAGGGACACATTTTCTGTAGTTGGTGTCTTTGCTTTGCAATATGAGGACTAAGTGCATTGACCAGCAACTCAAAATCTTCACACGATATACGAGTAAAATTTTTAAATCCACTTAAGGGATCTACTTTTATTTCTTCTACAAATCTATTCGTTTCTTCATTCCATCGCTGCAGAAAACGTCTCACCCAACATCGTGGTTTTCTTCTTCGTTTCTTTTTAAGCAGACTACCTATTAAAACACAAGCTGCAGCACAAAACACTACGTATTCCCGCCCATCCATATTAAGAACTGAAGTTAGTGAGAACTTTGCTTGGTAAACATGTTCGTGCACAAGTGTGCTACACTGTACGCTTACAAAAGTTATGCACTGCTTTGCCGGTGGACACAGAAGATAAATTCGATACCAGTGAGCACATTCAATGCTGGAGTTTCACACAAAATGTTTGTAAACAGATGTGCTGAACAGTATTTTGGTGGAATCGTACCATTAGATAGTGTGTGTGTACAAGGTTTCCTAGAATAACTAATTATGTTTTCTTACCCACGTGGGAAGTAACGTGACAAGTTATTATAAAAGATGCCATGAATGGCTCTCTTGCAAAAATACGTATCCTTGAATTGCGCTACTGTAAATCGGATTTGATAGTATTATTTAAGGTTCAACATTAGGGATGGGTTAGGCCAACGAATTCAGACTAAATAGGAGGAGCTAGTCAATGTTTTGTTTGTCTTCTAATCCTCATAGTCTGTAATGAGGAGCAAAGTGCACTCAACGCAAGCCAAGTTTTTGACAGTTCTGTCAGTAAATTCGTATATTTAGTGTTATTTTTTTAAACGACGTTAGACGATTTCAAGACATGGTACTCCTTACATAATTTGCGAAGAACCGTGCTAGCCTAACGAAGGTAGATGTTTCCGCTGGTAAGTATTATGTTGATACAATGCTATCACTGCACAATGAATTTGTGGAGCTAGCCCTAAAGCAACATTGATTATTTTTGCACCATGTATACAAATCCCTAATAGATGATATTTCCGAAAATCCTAATCGTTCAACTGCCAAATGTATCTTTGTTTGTTTTCGTGACGTTTCAAATACTGTTTCTATGAATTCAGGCGATCCTCAGACTCCGACAAAAATATAATACTTGTGTTAGTGATAACGATAGTATGCGGTCTCCAGAAGCGCTGATTATGAACGTCGAACCTACAATCAATTCAGTTCAATTCTTTATTTGTGTTAAATACACCAAAGTCAATAGAAGAAAAAAACAAAAAGCAGTCTGACAAATGACTGATGTTCAAATTGTACAGAATATCTGTATCAACTCATGATACGATACATTATCATTCAATAAAAGCAGATACAACAAGTCATTCAAGCTGTAAAAAACAGGACATATATACGTACATATACAGAGTGTCTGCGAAAGGTTGGGAAATCTCGAAACTGGAGATACTACAGTCCAAAATATAATTTATACTGTTCTTTATGTCTCATTAATGTCACACTGGAAGCCATATATTTGACAAGTCAAGGCAATACGTCGCCTCTTACTAAGTATATACAGGGACTTCTATACAGCAGCTACCTATACAATTGAACTTTCGCCTCCGATAACTTAAAAGCTGACCATTATCGACCTTTGTGCCCATTCAGACTTTAACTAATTACGATTGACATCTGGACACCCATTATTGTAGGCTAAAATGTATTTCATCCCCCAAATATCCAAAAAACTTTTTTCATATATATACTTTTCATCGGCTTTCCAGTGGTGGACATACTGATTACGACTGTCAGAAAATATAGGACTTATTCCTGTTATTTATAAGGCAAACATACTCATAGATGACCCCTTGTTTTTTCAGATGGTTGATGTAAAAAAGTAGTATCTCAGTGACAATAGATGTGTTACACCCAGAAAAAGTAACTTCTTCAACTTGATTTTTTGACAACATAGTGACTATATTTAACGCCTGATGTGGCAACAATGTCAACGTTTTATCGTTGTATTTGTTTACCTTTGTTAAAATGTTATCTCTTAGTTTTATTGAAGAACGCAGTTTCTGAGAGCTGAGTAGTACAGATATTTTTAGTTATTGCCCTTTCACTTATTAGAATTAAGCATAACAAAATGCCTGGAGTTCGAAGATGTCCAAATCATCTTTATGTTAGGGACTTTGACCGGAGTAGAACAGCCTATCAAGATGCTGGTTTGTCCTATCGCGAAATTGGCCTCCGTGTTAATTGTACTGCAATGACGGCGTGTGTGACGCGTGTGGATAGAAGAAGGTAGAGGAACACGGAAAAGGTCAACTGGTCCACCGATGCGTATCACAGACGTCAAGATAGGCGCTTCAGACAACTAGCTCTACGAGATCTTCTTACTACTACGCGTCAGATCGCTGACCAATGGTTTGGAGAAGAAGGTAGACATGTTACTATGCGAACACTCTACCGCAGCATTCGAGTTTTTGGACTTTTTTCATTCCGGCCACGGTTAGTGCTTCCTCTGACTGGGGACCAGTATCGTCAACAGAGAACGCAACATTGGGAGGCAGAATGGCATAATGTCATCTCCAGCAACACCGCCGTGGAGAACGCCGTGATATTAGATTTAGAATTGTTGGAGTAATGGTCTGAAGGGCTATTGCCTATGGTAGCTCATCACTCATTCTCTTTGTTCAAGGCAATATGACTGCTGCACGTTATGTTGATGATGTCCTACAAACCACTTTACTGCCTTATTTAGAGGCCGTCCACACGTCCTTTTTCAACAAGACAACGCACGTCCCCATATTGCTCGTCGAACTGCGGACCTTCTTCAAGAAGCAGGTGTTAATGTTTTGCCGTGGTCACCCCGTTCACCCGATTTAAATTCCATCGTACATGTGTGGGATATGATGGAGAGGAAAATATCCACTTTGCAGTATGGACTAAATGTATGAACCTGTTTGTCTGACTTTTTCCTTTTATTTTTTTGGTTATACCTACATATTTGTAGCTATCTCAGATGAATTGTGCCGAACGAATATTTTATGAATTGATGACAGCACGGTGATGGAAGTGCAGAATCATCCTGCTTGACTCCATTTTTTGTAATAACAGATTAGCCGTTACAACTGGCTGGATGGGTAAAGTCTCATTTTAAAAGTGTTTTCATCTCCTACAACTCTTTTGAACCACTTACATCAAAACTTCAGAAATATTTAAACATAAGTAAAAAAGTGCTTTTACGTTTGATAAAGGAAGTTACCCAGCAAAAATGTTTATATCTCTTGATGCGGTGCCTTCCGTATACCCCCAAAAGTATAATTACGTTGTATAACCGCTTGTTACATTTTTTTTCTTAAATTCTAGATGTCATGGCCTTATATCCAACAGTGTGGGACGTTGATTGTGTCTATTTTCATCGTCAGTACGTGCAGCAATCAGCGTTCTTTGTCTGTCTTAGTCTGGTAGCGCATGACACGTGTGTACCACCCACCTCCATATGGCCAAACCTTAGCGAGAGGTCAACAAAACACTCAAAATGCTAGTTAAATTTGAATATTCCAAGTCGCAATCTTTCCCCACTTGTACCGGAATGAAATTTCACGAAGCAGCACAAGCACAACCATCATTCTCTCATTTGCATTTATTGCTCCGGACCCGAACGCTGCTTGGACGTCGACACATGGGAATTGTAATATCACTGTCCCGGTTGGCCATTTAAAATACCATCACATGCGAAAACCGCTATCATTTGCCGTCGCTTACTAACCACGCTCCTTTGAAATATTCAGGGGAATGCCGCTCAATGCACCTCTGTGTTACCTCGATCCAGTGACGTAGCTTCCTTAAGGAATCAGGAAATCAGAATCAATCAGACTGCGGCGCTAAAGCTGTAGGCTCCGTATGCCTGTGTAGCAAGAGTTTCGGTGGCACTTTGCATGTCTGAAGCAAACCCTGATAGCACACCGTTGCTTGAAATTAATGTCACTCATTTTTAAAACACAATAGATCAAACTGCTACGCACAACCAAATGACTCGAGCGAGCTGAAACTTGTAATGAACGCGGATAACATGTTCCCCTGTCTCCTGTCTTCCCTCGAAGCCCCGCGCTGCCAGTGTTGCCAGATCGAACACTACGTTAGCAGTCTTGGGCGATCTCAATTTAAAGACCTCGTATGTACTTATATAGGGTAGTTGCACCAGTAATTGAACACACGCCAGTAATTCGTCTTACGTCTTCTAGCGTTACTTTCGGGTATAGCGGGCTACGGTAGGGAACTTTCGGGAAGCTAGACCTCAAATTCAATTGGTTGTAACAATTCAAAGAGAACGATGCACAAATTGGGCAAGGCGAGTATCAAGAACCAACATTTCTCTAACATGATCTATACGCATTTTTAATGATATGCTTGTTTTATATATTACCTTCATAGTACATCTCTTGTTGAAAAATCCCCAAGATTACTGGAATGTATCTCAAATAGTTAATAAAAATTGGGTCCAATAAAGAAAATAGAAATAAAAGACATTTCTTCTTATCTCATTAGGCAAATCAAAATACCAAATTCAAGTACCCCGAATACAACTGGTTCAATGCTGTTCACGTCATAGGAAACGGTGAGGCCCCTCTGAGTAACGTTTCTAAGTTGCATGAAGTTCCTATTAGCACCCTGAGCTATAGAATAAACAAGTAAGGTCCCATAGATAGGAAACTTAGAGAAGAGTTGGTTAGCTGGATAACAAATAAAGCAAAGTTGGGATTCAGTTTGTGTGAGAGTTAAAGGACTTTACTCAGATCGTCTTACAGCGATGCCCTCGACCCAATCCTTTCAAGGATAATCGCCCCAAAAGGGAATGATTGAATTTTGTTTCTTAGTTGTCATCCTGAAGTGGTTAAAAAATGCTGAGGTAATTTCTAGAACACGAGCTACTTTAACAAACAGAACTGAACATGCTTTGAAACTGCCAAAATACTTGACCCAAAACTACAAGAACCTTGATAACTAAATATATCGTCGACGAAGATACCCCCGTGTCCAAAACAAAAAATAGTGAGCCATGAATCATAAAAGACGGCTTCCTGATTATACTGCTCTTGAGATAAAATAAAATTCAGAAAGTACTCACGAAATGATTAAAATAGAATCTACTAACACAATCAAATACCTGGGCGTACTTTTGGATTCGCACATGAAATGAATTTATCATATTGATCATATTACCTTGAACTTGAGACATCTATTGTTCAAAAGAAAATATCTAAGTAATTATCTGGATCAAAAGACCATGAAAATGATTTACCAAGCTCTGGTGGAGTCTAGATTGCGGTATGGTTTATTAGCTTGGGGTGGAGCTCTAACCGTTCAATTAGCAAAACTAGAGGTTTGAGAAAAACAATTTTTAAAAATAATTTATAATAAAAACAGTCTTTATGCATCAGAACAGCTGTATAGGGATGCAGTAACTCTAGAGTCTAGATCTTCTACAATACGTATATACTTATTCGACTAGGAACAAAATTAATAAAATAAGCAGGACTCCTCTGTCTACCAAAGACATAGGACAAGGTGCTATACGTATCTTGCCAGTCGGTAATATAACTTCCTGCCTGATGCAATAAAAAAAATATTTTCGTTACCATTACCAAAATTTAAAAAAAAGAAATAAAAAAATTCTTTCTTGAAAAGGGACAAGAATAAGTTCTCAGAATTATAGAAAATAGGAAAAATATTACACTTATATTTAGTGTGTCATGTTCATATTTTGAAAAAATCTGTTACCGATTTTTTTATATATAATATAAATGTTTGACTTATCTATTGTTTTTTTAACTGATGAAATTCATTACTGTTTCCTTGTCTTTTGTATCATTTAAAAAAATTTATAGATATTCTAAATAATTAGTAAACTATTGTTTAGGTTACACTTTTATTTATCTGTTTTTTAAATAAAGGTTTTTTAAAACAAAAAAAAAGTTGTATACTCTGATATGATAGCCTCTATCATTATATTTTAAAAATATTCATTTAGCTAAAAATGTTCGAGCACGGCAATGATAAGTTGAAAGAAGTTGGAAGTGTACGACCTCAATGAATATATTCCCCCACGCACAAGCATTTGCTTCTTATTTCTATATTTTGTTATTGTAATTGTTGTGTTCAATTACTGTTGACTAAGTGCTCAATTGCTTAGTCCAAGCTGTTCAATTACTGGAGAATGGCCCTTTTTCAGACAAACGGCTTCAACACACTAATAAGAACGCAAACAGCTACTTTCTGTGGTTTAAGGATCTTTAGTGTCCAAACCAGCCTAGGAAAGATTAAGTAAATAGTTATCTTGTTCCAGGACCGTTGAACGAAAGTTTGAATTTAAAAATCCGCCTAAGTGTTTAATCACTAGTGCCACTACCGTAGTTGGCTACAACGTCATCTATGTGACTCTTAGCTATTGAAAGCAGATTTCTAATTATTGCGGACACGAGAAACACAGCTGTAACTAATTCTACGACGCTATCCTGGATAGTCGTATTAAATTGGCTATCTTCAGGTAGGATACGATAATCAATTGTTATAGCCTAAATCCTTACTGCAACCAAGATTGTATGCGATGGATTCATCCTCAACGCCGCATAGCACGTATCTTTCACAGCCCTTAAGGCGATTGTTCGAAAAAATATGGCCCAATAATCCTGCCTGCCAGTATGCCACACCACACATTTAAGCTCCAACGCCCTTGGTGCTGCTCTTGATGCAACCAATGCAGATTGACTCTACCGTCACAATATATCCCAGTACGCGGTTAATGTTTTCTTGTATCCTTCCAACTCTTTCCTGTTAAAACGTCGGCCGAACACTACAATTCTCTCGTAAGCTCGCCACTAATCGGGAAACACTCTCACATCGCAAAGACGCCGATTTGGCTATAAAGTCGCGTAAACTCTTTTTGCTACTGCGGCATTCTGAAGATATTCAAAATTAGCTGCAAGCATTAAAATTGCTCAAGGTAACGCTAAACAATTGATAACCATTGACAATTTGAGGATTATTTCTGTTTTGATTAGGTAATTGTTTTGTTGTATTCCATAGCCCTGCTTCTATTGTCTTTTTCGTATATGTATACCCATAGTGAATATGCATTTAAACAAAACAAAAAAGCCTTTTGTCATTAGCATTACATAAATACTTAATTAGTTTTAACGATATTTTGTAATATTTTCAAAAACGGTGATTTTATTCTGATGAATACAATTCCAGAAAACTTAGTTTAAAAATAAAAATTTGAAGGATTTCCGCATAAATTTGTCTAAATTTTAGGTGCGGAACAAGATATCGAGATGCGGTGTTTGCCAGCTTGCTTAGACATAATTTGACTACATTTTCATACAAAAAATCATACCAGTGCGTCTAATTTTTTTGAGAAAGTTAACCATTTCTGTCGGAATATCAAAAAAGCTCTCCATCGGCCATATGTGAAACTAACTTCAAGTACTATAAAATTCGTAACGCAAGAATTTCTCTTTCCAACTAGCCAAAGTTTGTTGAAATCGGCTCAGTCATTTCGAAGATACAGAGTAAAAAACGGAAACCCTTGAATATCTCACACCACTTTATTCTTAGAGTTACAGCAAAAATTGTCAAACAAAAAATTTCACATTATCCTCGACTTTAATGATCAGGTATTTTTTTGTTAGGTTAATATAGCAGAATTCACAGGAACTTTACTTTCTTAAATTCAAGATTGCAGTTACGCCCCCTAGCGGCCATTTCAGAAACTTGAAAATATTTTCCAGGTTTTTCTCTTGGCCGGTTTAGTCAGAACTTTTTTTGCCGTAAGCCAGGTTCCCAGATACAGTACCTCGGATTCTTAGTTCAATAGATATTTGGTGGTAAATAGGCTCTTGGATTAAGAAGCTTGTAGTCAATAGGTTAAATTTCTTTTGACGCTTCTACACCAAACTACTACAACAGAAATCAGACGACTGCAGTCGCATATTCTCTCACGAAAAGCCCCTTTACAAATCCACAGCTGGATTGTCACAGCAAACATTCAGAATGTGCGGCTGTATGTGAGCGTAGGCTGGTAATGCCACTTTAATCCTGAGCCTTGGTGTTGGAGGACATCTACGATTAAATCAATAACGCCATCACATTTTTCCATGTCACGATTGCGTAAAAAAGGGTGCACTACAACGTGATCGGTCATAACAATTGCTCATTAATTTGCATGTAACACAGACAGCTAATGTAACACATAGAGCTTTATTTTTCTTCACAGTGTTCATTGGCGTGAATGAGGGTTAACAAATGCCACTTTAGAACACTACCACTTTTAATTTTGTTAAAAAATTGTGTCCCAATATTCATTTGATTATACCCCCACAAAAACATTATGGAGAACGACTATCGGCATTTTTTTAAATGTTGTAGATCTCAACGTGTAGAACAAAAGTGCCCATAGGCCCAAGCCTATTCCATGAATAGTTTAAAAATGCAGAGCCTCTAAGTATAGAAGTCCGAAGCCTATTGTGAAATCTGTCCACGATATGTAATAGTTGTTTGATATTTATTTACCTCTTTATCATTATCCCTACTACCACCAGCATTGCAATAATTCTCCACATGTACAGGGTGGCCTAAGCCTTCATGGATGGAGTATTGCTTCGAGGTACAGGCTACTTCAAATTTTTGTTTTTCACCGAAGCAGCCACGCAGGCAGAAGCCTAAGTGCAAAGACACCGCGGCTGCTATGCGGATCCCAAAGAAACTTTGTTAATCCGATTTTTGAACTTCGTAAGGTTACTAGAACTGGGAAAAGCCTTCTCTTGTAGATTGTTGCTGAATAATTTTCCAAAAAGTTTGTGTCTTGGAACAATACTCGATCTATGAATGTTTGGTCCACTCAGTACATGTGATAGAATTGCAATGTTAGTGAACCAACTAGTTTAGATAATGATAAATACGTAAGTAAATACCAAACAATTATGACAATGTCTTGTACCGAACCCGCAATACTCTTAAAGGCGCTGTATCTGAGAAACTACTCGTGAAAAATGTTCAAGCCTACGAACACTCTGTTCTATGTGTTGAGATCAACAACATATCGCATTTAAGAAAAAAATAGATAAAAACCATTCCCCAGGTTTCTGTGGATTCTTTTGATACCTCCTGTAGCAACGGAGAAAAGTCATGCTGAATACTTGTTGGGATACAGTGCAATTTTTCACTCCAATAATGTCAAGCAACAATTAATAAGTTTATGCTATTAAAAAGACTTTAATCCCAAAGCACACGTTACGACAGTTCTCATGAATGAGGAAGTAAATGTTCCGATGAAGTCGTTTTAATAAAGCATTAGATAGAAAGCTATTGTAACCACCTTTAAACTGAAAATGTTTTTTGAGATCTGTCTTCTACATATATTTACACCCACCACGTGCCTTGCGGAAACAGTGTTCGCTGGTGAAATCTCTCCAAGAATAAATTGAGTCGCATTCGTTAGCTTCAAGGAGCTTGTATGCACGGCATCGACCCGCTTTGCTACTATGCTATGAATAAATTAAGAAAACGTAATCCCGCCAAGATGCTACGTATATCATCCTGCAAGAATTATACCCAGCTTTTCCAATCTCGAACAGAGACTGAATTTGTCATTTATTTCCTCCTATAAAGTAGTGCAGTGGTTACATCTGAGAACAGTATAGGGCCAGCAAAATTTACCATGACTAATATTTGTCAGACGGGTGTATTTTACGCGCACGCATGGTGGCACATGTTCTCAGCACATAGACCACCAATATAACCACAGCTGTCGACGCGCTTGCTTCAGCTGCGGTGATCTGTGCATTGTTCAGCATTAAAATGCTTAATTACATTATGAGTCAATCAGGTTCTCTATACAGATGAGTGTTTTGAATAAGAACAAGTGTCTCCAAAATAACTTCAGTGAAAAGGATACGAGGCCCTCTACTCCTATAGCTCGGAAACTACTGCTTGGAATATAATTCCATTTTGAAGCTATGCTACTGATATGCCAATGACAGAATACATCAAGTGCGTTTACTAATATATGCGCAGAAACTAGTAAAAAAAATTTGGAAAGCGTCAACGAACTTGATTTCCTTAGTGTTTTCGGAGTTCCAAGTTCACTGAGGTCTACACCTAAAATATTTACACCCACCACGCGCCTTGCGGAAACAGTGTTTGCTGGTGAAATCTCTCATAGAATAAATTGAGGAGCATTCGTTAGCTTCAAGGAGCTTGTATGCACGACGCTTTGCTACTATGCTATGAAGAAATTAAGAAAACGTAATCCCGCCAAGAAGCTACGTATATCATCCTGCAAGAATTATACACAGCTTTTCCAATCTCGAACAGAGACTGAATAAGTAATTTATTTCCTCCTATAAAGTAGTGCAGTGGTTACATCTGAGAAGAGTATAGGGCCAGGAAAATTCTCCATGACTAATATTTGTCAGACGGGTGTATTTTACGCGCACGCATGGTGTCACATGTTCTCAGCACATGGACCACCAATATAACCAGAGCTGTCGACGCGCTTGCTTCTGCTGCGTTGATCTGTGCATTGTTCAGCATTAAAATACTTAATTACATTATGAGTCAAACAGGTTCTCTATGCAGATGGCTGTTTTGAGTAAGAAAAAGGTCTTCAAAATAACTTCAGTGAAAAGGATACGAGGCCCTCTACTCCTATAGTTCGGAAACTACTGCTTGGAATATAATACCATTTTGAAACTATGCTACTGATATGCCAATGACAGAATACATCAAATGCATTTACTAATATATACGCAGAAACTAGTAAAAAAAAATTTGAAACCGTCAACGAACTTAATTTCTTCTGAGTGTTTTCGGAGTTCCAAGTTCACTGAGATCTACACCTAAAAAATTTGAAAGTTCATTTGACGTTTTTCTACTTTCACGTTATTTAGGGTAATAAGAAATATAGGTTGTTCATAAATTCTGAAACCAGGCATGCCTTCTATGGTTGCATATATCGCTAACAACTGTTGAAATGCCTTTGAGGCTCACTTGATCAATTGAAGTGTATATCAGTTTGCAAAATTCGATTCTCTTATCAGTAATTTATGGGAAGGGTGTACATGTAAGTGTAGATATTAGATTAGGAGTATTGAGGCAACCTACTTGGTTTCATATTTTTCTATTAAGTTCTTATATAATTGAAATTTCATCGTTTTGAGAAATTGTAAGGCTATAAACAAATAAATACCCTTTTTTTCTTTGGAATAGGCTGAATATTGGATTTTGAAAACCACACGGTATAAGAGCGTACAACCCACAGAACTATTAAGATCAAACACCAAATGCAACTATTGAACGCACCCCGTTACGTCTATATCTCTCTCTGTCTTTGGATTAGGCAACGACTGTAATTTAAAAAGAGAGAATGATGCCTATCATGATTTTTCCTGTCGCATACAGTCAATACAAAATGAGATTGTATAAAGGCGGACTTCCACTACTCGTATATTTGGCAAATATTTGTCACTTGCCTATATTTGCCATATAGTGGGAGTAGTTCACTCGGCCATTACTTGTACAATTATTTGCCGCTGGCGAGGTCTCGACGGTAAAAATGCCGCCAGCCAAAGGGATTTCAATTATTTGCGTATTTGCCAAGTCGATACTTGTCGATGTGCTCCCACTTCTTGCCGGCTTGAAACCAATGTATTTCCGCAGCGACTCTGTGTTTGGCTTCTGTCGCGTGTGCGTGGAGCGAATTGGAGTGGTCTCAAGAAGTCGTTTTTGAATTTATATGGCAACGTAGGCATCCACAACATAAGAACAGAAACTTAATCAGCGATGCCTGGCTTCGCATCAAAAATAAAATCTGCGGATTTGAAAAAGAAAAAAGAGACTATGATGGCGTCATCCCGACCATTGTTAAGAGACGTTAACGCATCATCAAAAACAGGGACAAGCAGCGAGGACGTTTATAAACCAACTTGGTTTGCATTCGAGAAAATGGGGAGCTTCCTGCATGGGGTTTCCTGCATATGTTCCACTTTATTCAATAGAAAGTCGGTGTAGGACATTCGCAGGAAATTCTCCAGCCATCCTGATGGTTCTCGAATCATGTCCTCTATCATAATGGAGGCATTGTACCCGCAAAAAAAACAAATTTCGGCTAGTGTATCAACCTTGAGAATATAAAGGCTTGGTATCTGCTTTTGGTCGAGCCGAGGGGCATTACGTAACTCAAAAAGTGACTGCGTAAATTTGTTTAGTCTGTAGGATAGATGGAAATATTAACTTACATCTCTCGACTTTTATTCAAAGGAGTTTTCCACCATCTTCTTTTTCTTTTCGCCTTATGAGCTTTAATTCTTCTCATGCAGCCATTCAATACCACAAACGCTGCTGCAGCGGCAACGTGACTATCCATGATGGAAACAAAGTAAGACTAAAGGAACCTGCTGTATTTGCCAAGCGCACAAATATTGGCGTACATGCCAAATACAGGAGTAGTGGGAGCTCCTTACTTGTAAAATGAGTTCGAAAATTGGTGTATTTGGCAAGTGCACAAACATTGGCGTACTTGCTGAATACACGAGTAGTGGAAGTCCGCCTTGACTCATACACGTCTTGCCAGCTACGGGAATTTAATAAATACAGCCTATTTAAATCAATCAGAATATTTAATGTCAAATTGTTTGTCCAAAAATTAAAACCAAAACCTAGTTTTACTCTGATGATTTGGAATTAATAAAGTAATTATCAGCTCTGAAATAGGATAAATTAACTATACAGTTAAAAATTTCGACCTGCAGCATGATGAAATGTAGAATTGGTTAGAGTTGATTAGTAAAAATCCCCACGGGTCGGAATTCTGGAAAGGGACATATTTGATATTAAAACATAGACGCTAATTAATTGTTTACATATTAAAAACACCTAGTGTACCCAAAACACATTATTTTTCATATAATTAAGAAGTTCGCGCCTTAAAACAAAGCGTTCTTATAATTTGAGGTTATGTCCTTATCAAAGTGTCTCGTTAAAATTTTTAACAAAATTCGTTTATTTAGCGTATTTCTAAAATGCCTGACTTTTGGCTAGCTATTGTGGCCACACACGACAAAAAAATTCCTGCGCATATATTTTTCGTTCACTTCACCGAAAATCTAATTTCGAAATTATTCTGTTATACCTATTCGCTACCACAAACGGAAGCTATCTCGCGGCTTATGTGAACGTCGCTCTGCTGAAAGTTTTACTTGCGCAAGCTTGTTTATGCAGTTAAAGTTGTACTTGTGGACAGCGAGCGGGTAAAATGGCAGACTTGCGTACCTATCCTAAATAATTAAGTTCGTTAATTAGATTGACATGCGAATATATATTTCTTCTCAGAAGCTACTTTTTGCTCCACTTTGATCTATATTTCTTTTTATTCTTCTTCAGTAAAAGACAGCATAAGAATGCACTCAAAACAAACAATTCATCATTTGGCGCCATTGTTCCAAAATAATTGACCAGTACCGATCTCTCCGATGATTTTAACTACAATGAGGTTTGTGCAAACTTAGAGCCTTCGCAGACTGCGTCGTATCGTATTCGTAACGTAATACCCGCGTAGGACGATAGCAAAACGAGTTCGTTTGTGTGCTAACAAGTCCGCACACGAAGCGGTGTTGTAGCGAAGCGTATGAGATGTTCAGTCTTATTACGGTGGTCGTAGCGGTCTGGCGTAAGGCAGGCGTAGAAGCAAGCGTGAAATTCAAAAGTTTTGTTTAATTGCTCTCGATATGGCTGAAATGTCTATTTCCTCATTTAATAAAAGCTTCGGAATTTATTATTATCTTCTGGAAGTCCACGTGCAGCAACAAACAATCTTTTCTTCTTATTACTTGCGATGTAGGGATAGATCCAATGAGCACGTCGCTTTCTACTTCCAACATAATCAAAGAAAAAGAAATCCTCTTCGTCTGAATAAAATGTAAGATCATCAATGGATACACCAGAAACATCTGGTACCGGTGACGCCATGATTTCAACTGAGATCTTACAAAACGGTACGGGTACGTGACGATGCGTGTGTGGCACACTGTAGATCTCACAAGCGTAGCGTCGTAACGATACGCTTAAGAAACGACTACGCTTACGATGCATGTGCGAAGGTCCTTACTAGCATCGTGTGCCCACCCTGTGGTGTTTCGCCTTTATCGCGCAAACTAGACCGTACAAGTAAGTCGCTATCGTGTGGCCGGGCCATTAAGGAACATTCGGTATTTCTTCTGACTGTATTTCATACACTAAAAGTATTGTCATTGTTTTTTTAATCACCCCGTGCAAAATACTGAATGCCACCTTGTCAAAATCGATACAGTTTGGTCAGATCAACTGCCTCAAAGGATGGCCTTAACAAGCTACCCATGATTTGGCGCACGGTGCACCGCCAGTGTTTACTCTGCAAAGCTCTACGGACCCGAAACCGGCTATTTCTGAAGGTTCAAAGGTTTAACGTAGTAAGTGTACTGACATTCGAATTGAAAGTCCACTTCAGTAGGAAACTGTCTTAATTTTTAATGTTGATAAACCCACGTTTCTTCAGTGAGATGTTTTGGAGCAAGACATGGATGTAATAAGGAATTACACGTTATGTAATTTGTGTTAACTAACGTTAAAGCTTCCTCACTTATCTACTTAATCATGGTAACGTAATGAAACTTGTCAGACTGAACATTCGGATAACGTGACAATAGGCTAGTTAACACTTTTTAAATAGGTCTTAAATAGTTAATATTTGTTCTTTTAAACAAAAAAAGTGATTACTATATTTTTTAACCTAAGAAAACGTAAAACTTTAGTTTAAAAATATATTTTTCTCAGAAAGACGAAAACGCTGCCAACATGACAACATACCTGTATAAACATGACTTTTACTCGTTTACATGAAAAATATAGTAATTATCGTTATTGTATTGTCCGAGAGTGTAAAAACACATCGATAAGGAGCCCAGAAAAGCTGTAAGAGTGTCCAGGAAAATAAATATACGCAACATGGCTAAGACCTGCTGGAAGAGATTCTGAACTTTACCGACGGTAAATCAAATTTATTTTTGCGAAGATCACTTTGATTTAAGATTAGATAAAAGTATTCAGAGGTTACGATGGATAGGCTTAGTTTTGAATGACTTCTCAAAAGGAAGAATATCTGATTGTATTATGCAGGGTGTTCCCATCATGGATTTATCAACTTTCTAACCAAAAACTACTTCACCCCCTTTCACCCTTTGCCCCCGGGGTCAATCTTTATCTTAATTTGTTCAGATAGAAAACAAAAACACACGAAAATATCACTTTCTATCTCAATAAGTGTTCAAAATGTTGTCCGTTATTAGCCAAACAAGGACACAGACGATGTTGTGGGATATCATAGGAGCCTTCGGTGATGCGTTGACGAAGTTCATCCAAACTTTCAGGTTGAAGAGTAATCACAATAGATTTCAAATAGCCCCATAGATAAAATTCTAATGGCTTCAAATCAGGAGATCTAGCTGGCCATTCTATAGGCCCCCTTCGCCCTATCAATTTATCTGGAAACTTGTCGTCTAGCCATTGCCGAACCGGAAGAAGATAGTGAAGAGGAGCGACGACTTGCTGGAAATATATTTCAGCCTCATCAAGTATAGGGTTACCATCATCTTCGATTTGATTTTCAATGGTTTCAGTGATAAGCGGATTGATGGTATTTTCCAAAATATCCAAATAAATGTCACCATTCAAATTGCCATTAATAAACAATGGCCCAATCACTTTGTCTCCTAAAATGCCTGCCCGTACACCTATGCGAAGTTATTTTTCCCGGATGCCTGACGTTAAACGTGATGGCAGTTTGCCTATCACATTGATTTTGGGCACCATAAATTAGAATCATTTCCACTCTTTCGGCTAAAGTGTGTGAACCATTTTGGTAGTAAGATCAGAGTCAATAAATTAATTTTCACTATCCCAAGATTGTCACAAAGGTAACTGATATAAAATTAAATTCTTTCTTCCCTCATCAACAAATAGCTATGAATAGGAATGAATAACAAGAAATACAGTTTGCCCAGGATATCTGTGTTGATGAAAAGGATGCGGAAAAAAATTCGGGTTGTTATTGGGTTGTTGCTAAGCCTAATCTTCCGAATTGCTGCTTATGTCGGTAGTTTTCATTTTAAATTATAAACGAATTGTAGATTTGGCAAACCCTAACACTTTGAACACTTATTGAAATAGAAAGTGATACTTTAGTGCGTTTTTGTTTTCTATCTGAACAAATAAAGATTTTTATAATTTGCTCAAAAACGAATCCATTGATTTTAAAAAATCAAACGTCAAAATAGACTTTGAAAGACATTTTAAACAAGCTATCACTCGATACCCCTTGTCATTTAAAATTTTTAAGGGCATGACCCTGAGGCGGCTAGAGCGAAAAGAGGGGAAGTATTTTTTGTTAAAAAGTTGTCCCCCTTAGCAGATCTTTTGACGTTTTTCCTTTTAATCAGTGGTTTACGACAAATCCGTAGTGGGAAGCATTCAAATGAACACCCTGTATACTTATTCTATTATATCAGATGCACTGTACTTACTTAGCGGTCTTAATGTTTCTCAGCTTAGTAGAGCAGAAATCTGTGTTAAAAGCAAACAAAATTACCAACCATCATTGTGGCAATTTTCAGAAAAATGTTTGCTTTCTGATGCTTTTAAGAGCTTTTCTTAGAAATATCTAAGGATGATCACGTTAGTCCACGAGTCAAATACGGATGACGTTTCTTTGTTTACAATTTATGTGATGTCACACCATGGCCGGTAGCGTTTTCACCGTTTCACAATAAAAATAAAAAATATATTTTTTTAAATTGAACTTCTATATCCATCATGCGCTTTTAAAAATTGCAATCGATATATTCCGTTATCTCAAACCAATTACTGTGAGAAATACTAATGTATTCTATAAAACTAAATATGAGTCAGGTAGCCTATTAGTTAGGGAGGTTGATCCCTCCGCCAATGACCCCTTTGCATATGCCTATTCGACGAACCTAGCTGGCTGAAAAATAAGTGATTTTTCGTAAGTCATATTAACAAAATATTGAGCTTATAGATATGAGAAACTGTTTTTACGTTGGGTACCCTTTGGATCATGTGTGAGATGGAATTTAATAAAAATGCTCGGTAGAATGCATGGATGCATGCAACGAGCAGCAATGAAATGTCTGCAGGCTTTAAGTGTAGAAGTGCATCTTGTGGAAACATGACGGTGGGCCACCTACAATGGTATCCACTAACCAAAACGTTAGAAAATGCATGGTATCGTGTCACAACATGGTCATCGAATAACTGTGAGATATGAAAACCGATATGGTGATGAGTTACCTGGCATAGTGGCGACGACTAACCAAAACATAAACGGATTATGTAGAAAGATATAGATGTAGAAGAATACAAAAAGGAAACTTCATAAGAACGTATGAGTTTTTAGATACAGGTTGATAAAGTTTTCAAAAATAAATCATTTACTATTAATCTGTAAATACCACTTGAGATATTTCAATGAAATTCGGCATAAATGTCCTATGTATCCAGCGGATTTTTTTTTGGATTACTACCTTTTTCAATTTCTACCAGTGGCGTTCCTATGGTATATTTCATCTGTCTATGTTGGCAGACATTGATGGTACGCCACTGATTTCTCATGAAGTAAAAACTTGAATTCTTATTTTTTCAATCCGATGAACGGTTTTCGGTTGAAAAAATTTAAACCGTTTCTCTGCATGATCATAATAATATCGCTAGTATGAAATGCTTACATAACTTTTTAGATGAAAACCGTGCGTCGTACTAGAATAAGTTAAGAGATCACATCGGCTCATAAATGAATACCGATTTCATTTTTTCTCATCACAAGTGGCGTGTCACTGACTTTGTATATTGAAAACTTTACCATAATGTATATATAATCTTAAACGACGTTTGCTAAGTATACTAAGTTTTCTTTTTAAAATTGCTTGTCTGAACCTAGTAGTAAGGATATTCTGCAGTAAATCTGCTATTATCAAAGCCTTAAATCTAGAAAATGGACAACAGAATTCGATGAATGTATTTACTAGTAGAAGATTAAAAGAGCAATATAACTCCAGACACTAGCTTTTGGTGTGTAGGACTATTTTGTATGGTCGCATTTGATCATTGTATTTTTTCTTAAAGCATTCCATGATTATTAAAAGTGCTGCATGTGTTACACTGTTAACAAAGAAGGACCAGTAGAAGTACTTTAGACTAAAGCAAATGTCGTTCGGACTTCTTACACTTATACTTTATATTGTACGCTGAATTTATTTCCGTTAATAATCGTATTGGATTATCTGGTTATTAGCAATCTTATGGTGGGAAAAGTTTAAATTAAGATACTCCTAGCACGAGAGTTGTCGGTAATGGTTCTAATGTATTGCACTCAATATTGTGTATCGCGTTGGCGCCAATAGTTGTCGCCTTGCCGCAAGCGCCATCTGTTCTCAGCGAGATTAACTATTTTCTAGCTGAAATTACACAATGGATAGAATACAGTGTGGCTCATCCATGTGTGGACGGAATATTACTAATAAACAAATCCATTTTGGGAAAATCGACTTATGGGATGCTATACATGACATTTGAGGACACATTTCCAAAATATTGGCCATTATACAGGGTGAACCAATTCAAAACAAAAAAATTGATAAAACATACTATGGGGTTTTGGTAATTAACTACTGAGATATAAGGTGTTTTGTCTAGAAAAATCCACTACCTCGGCAACCCCTCAGTCCGCCATTTTGAAATTTGGAGTGCTGAATTTTGTATCAAAAAAAATTTACACACCTCAGCTTTTATCTTATCTGTTACTTTTTCAAATTTAAATTTTTGTTCATACAGGGTGGTCAAAAACGCAAATTGTGGTTTTTCTAAAAAATTTCAAATGCATCACCCTGTATATATGTGCAAGATGGAATTCAATCTTTATAAGCTTGTTTTGATACTAGACACATAAGGGTTTTTACGACTATTTTTTCGTTTATTAGCACGTCTTTTATGGAACGGCTTAATCCCTAAAATATCGCATCATCCTTGGAAACAAATAAATTGTTGATTAGTTACAAACTGTCAAAATTAGCTTTGTGAGCATTATAATTAAAACAAGTTTGAAGATGGATTTTTCTAAAGAAGAAATGGTGAATATGGTGTTCGTTTTGGGCGAAGCCCAAGGAAATAGTTTCCTAGCATCTCGCATTTATAAGCAACGGTACCCTAATATGCGACATCCAAGGCCGGAAACATTTTTCACATTACGAGAAAGTTTTGAATCAAGTGGAGCACTGGAATATATAGTCAACGCCAAACAAAGTGGCGTGCACGTCATCAAGGTGGGTGTGTTGAAAAATTTACATTGTTGCCAAACTTTTTGTAAAATAATAAAATTTATTATTTACATATCTAGGTTTATAAGCAATATTAACCTCAAATGAGAACAAAAATAATAGTATAATAACATTATAGATCTGTACTTGCATAATCATTAAGTATGACAATTATTGATCAGATGACACTATGAAACTACCATATTTAATTGATAGCTTAAAGGTACTGAATAAAAATCCAAATGGGGTCCTCCAAATTTTATGCATGGTATTTATTTTACAGAATTCATACAGAAAAATGCATTCTAAAATTAGGTAAGCTACTGGTGTAAGCTTTTTCTGTACAATAAAGTTAGTCGGAGTTTCTTTCTTCAGCGCTGTCTGAATCTGAATCTTCATCACTCTCAAAGTTGATTATTAAAGGTTCGATGTCTGGTCGATCAAAAATTCGTTCTCTTTCATACCATTTAAAAATTTCTTGCTCAGTATATCGAACACTATTTTTCCACATGTCTGGGGTAACCGTTTGTAGAGCCTCGTTCCACATATCCAAACAGTCTTTTTCACTGTTACCATCTCTACCAATATGTCTGTTATAGTAACCTTTTGCTATGCACCAAATTAACTCAATAGGGTTAAATATACAATGGTAAGGAGGCAGACGAAGAACTTTGTGCCCATGTTGTTCCGCCAATTCATCAATCACGTATATTTTAGGTGGTTTGTTTCTAAAAAAGCAGTTATTTTAAGAATAGGAATAAACAAAAGAAATATAAACTGTCGACCAAAATATATATAATTAAGAAGCATTATGTACCGAGCAACAATACTCAATAGCTCTGTTTTAAACATTGTGTTTAAAAATGGTATGTTTTGATTTGTCAACCAGTCTTGGATATTTTTTTTTGTCCATGCATTGTTGGGCACTTTGTTCAATATCATGCTGTGATAAGGGGCGTTATCCAGTATAATCATAGATGGACTCTCCAATTTTTCTAATAACTGATGTTGAAACCATTTCAAAAAATTGTCCTGGTTCATCTCTCCATGGTAATCGCTCAATTTTGTTTTCGAAGAAAATATCGCTTCACTACCCTCAATAAACCCATTTTCATTTCCAGCATGTAATATAATGTATCTAAAATATATTAGTTTTAAATTTTATAGTGCAAATTGTGTAAAAGTACATACCTTTTACCATCTGTTTTAATAGCTTTCACGCTTTTTTGGTTTCCATTTTGCCAAAAGCGACCTATGGTCCCATTTTGAAATATCCAAGTTTCATCGAGGAAGACAAACTGGTATAAGGCCTCAACCTTGGCTTGATTGTATTGCCTTAGAAATTCCACCCTTTTCAAAGCTATACTTGGTAGTTCCATGAGCCCTCGTCGCGGATTGTCCTTAAGCCACTTAAATCCAAGATCTCTAAGCAACCGCCTTAAAGACGTGGCACTACCATCAAATAATGCCCTATCTCTTAATCGAGACCATAAAGCTTGTATCGTAACTTGTTCTTCTGAAACCATGTGTAATATGACATTATAATTTAGTTCACAAATTAATGCAAATTTCTGATAAGTTATTATAATAAGATCTTACTTTTGTGATACATATTATAGATCACTTCTCGAATGGCACTTGTATCCAATGTCGCTGTGTTGGTTACACGTTTAATATAACTCCGCTTTTTCTTGGGCGATTCTAAATTTGCATCACTTTTCACACCCTCGGAAATACGACTAACTGTCCTTAAACTAATTTTTAAAGCAGCAGCAACACGCTACAAAAAATGAAATAAAATTTCACTATTATTAATATACATTACATATAATTAATAGTAACCTACCTCTTGAACAGCATTTAAAGGCAACAAAGGCCCGTTGTTGTCCCTTTCTTGCTCAAAGTAGTGCATTAACGAGGCCACGAGTTCCTTACACCGACTATTTAACTGTTTGGGCATCTTTATATACCAAAATTGCCTTTATCTACTCGTAAAATGAATAATTTTGTTTTGAAACAAACAGTTGTTGATTTACAGAATGCGGGCCCAAAGGATTTATAAAGATTTGAAATGCCACAAATTGATTCAGTGTCAAAATTAATACAAATGTCAGTTCCCAGTTTAAATATGTTTTAAGGTGACAATGTGTCAACGCTGCGAAATCGGTTTAGTGCGTTTACATGTCGATAAGTGATTGGAGCGTTTGCAAAATATTTTATTTCGCATAATGCGTCTAAATTTATCAGAAAGCAACTTATGTGATATTTTAATAACAATGTTTATATGACTATTAACCATAATAAGAGAGTAATGACCATTTTACAATTTATATATCACATTAACATGAAACTGCAATAGAGCAATTGTTTGTGATAGAAACCTAGGCATTAGGTCGGGGAATTTTTATCGTGATGACGTGCACGCCACTTTGTTTGGCGTTGACTATAGTTAAAAATGTATAAATAATCCAAGTGTCACCAATGAGGCGAATCGGTTGGAAAATCCCCATTTAAGTGTACGGCAAATTGGAGCAGAAACTGATATATGCAGAACTTCTGTCCAAAAGATTCACAAGCATAGGTACCATCCATATCACCTATGCTTGCATCAAGGCTTTCGTCCTCAGGATTTCGCAGCTCGAATGATGTTTAGTAGAATAATGCTAAATAAAGTGAGTGAAGACACTACTTCCCTGGATAAAGGTTATTTTTAGCGATGAGGAAACTAACCCTTACTGGGTTAGGGAAATAGATTTCCAAAATAAATGGAGTTTGAATGTTTGGGGAGGACTTATTGGCAGAAAAGTTATCGAGCCTTTCTTCTTTGATAACAGATTAACAGGTACAGAATACTTGAATTTTTTGATCGAGCATTTGCCTTTGCTTTTGGAGGATGTCAACCTGCAAACTCCGATACATACGAACTTCCAACATGACGGCGCACCTGCGCATTATCATAATCGTGTGCGTAACTACTTGGACACCTGGAGTAACAATCCTTGGATTTTTCGTGATGGGCCTATATCTCGGCCTAATAGATCACCATATATCACACCGATGGACTTCTTTCTACTTAAGCAAAAGGTTTATAGATATCCACCATCTACCCTCAAAAAATATGAAGGAAAGGATCAAGAATGCTTTTCTGAACATAGGGGAACACATGCTGAGGGATGTGCAACGGTCATTTATCCAAAAACTATGGCTGTGTATTCAACATGGTGGAGATATTTTTGAGCAGTTTTTGCAGATTAGGTCTTGAGTAGTGATAGTTGCTTATGTTGTTGTTATAGTGTTTTTCTCTATTACGCTTGAAGCTGATTTATACTCTTCTGTCACTGTTTGTCTTTTGTTTCCATGGATGATGTGATGTTTTTCCTTAATTTTGGTGTGTTGTTCTATTAAAAGCTTAAAGTCTCAAAATCTAGTGATTTTATCTGAATCAAACCTTATACCAAAAAAGCATATAAGAAATTGAGTCCAAACTTGCACAAATATCTAGGGTGATGCATTTGAAATTTTTGAGAAAAAGTACAATTCGCGTTTTTGACCACCCTGTATGAGCAAAAATGAAAATTCGAAAAAGTGACAAATACGATAAAGGCTGAGGTGTGTAAGTTTTTTTTGATATAAAATTCAGCACTCCAAATTTCAAAATGGCGGATTGAGGGGTTGCCGAATTGGACGGTTTTTCTGGACAAAACACCTTACATCTCAGTAGCTAATTACCAAAACCCCATAGTATGTTATATCAATCTTCTTCTTTTGAATTGGTTTATCTAAATATTCAATAAAATTTGAGGCATTCCACTCAAAAAATCACAACTTTTATATGTAGGTCAAAATTGGGACACCCTGTATAATTGCCAATATTTTATAAATTTGCCCTCAAATGTCGTATATCAGATGCCATAAATATATTTTCCCAAAATGTATTTGTTTATGAGTAATATTCCGTCCACGCATGGATGGGCCACCCTGTATATAAAAATAGATAAAAAGACCCGAGGAGTAGGTCAAGAGTCAGCCAGAGAAGAACACTCGACGAGACGCTGCCTGCGACTTGGTCATAAATTAGTGATGTCTTAAGGAGTAATAAATCAGTTTGTCCAGTGAACATCTGTTTTCGTTACAATATCTCAAGTCATGAGAACTAGTTATAGATAATTATTATGTACTATAAACTTTCATTATGAAACTGTTGAAATCCAATCGAACATCTATCGTACTCTGTATCTCTGCTGAATTAAGAACTAGAGGAAATATCAGCTTAATACTTTCATAACTTCTTAAAGACTTACCTATACAGCGAGGAAAACGCCACTTTTCCATCACTTCTTGTGTTTACTATCTGACCTTTTCAAGAGTGATTAACCAACCCGAAAAAAAAAAGGACCCAATTAACATAATTTACGTGTTATTTAAACAGATAGATGCTTTGATAAAGCTTACCTCACAACATCCCTCTAAATTTATTTGATAAATAAGCGGCTTAAAGTTACAGCGAAGCACTTTGTTTCTTGTATTTCCGACTTATAAATTGACGGTTCGAGAGGCTTTGACAGATCAGTGCTACATTATAGGTTAACCGGTTAAAGCTAGTGCTGGTGCAATGAGCCATTTTCATTTGATGTCGGCAGTAGCTAATAGCTTCATCCGTGACGTATTATCCTGTTTTTTAAGTTACTCAATTATACCATTGATTATCATATTCCATCAGAAAATACCTAATATTGAGATATGTGCCATGGCGGAACCAACTACTTAAGCTTCAGTTTTTTAAATTACACGAGAGCTTAAGAATGAACAATTTTGTCTAAAAGGAAAATGTAGTATGTGTTTATTACTTCTAAGGGAATTATGACGATGGAAAGATTATGCAGAAGTCCATGCACAGCATCGGTTTGGGTTACAGGATATGTTAATTAACTATGTTACTCAAGTTCAAAAGCATTCAATGTGTATTATTTCAGTACCACTTTCATTCCAGTTTGGTTTTTTCAAGATTAGGTTTAGTCGGTCATCATGGTCTAAAGCATCCTCTTCAGAAAATGAACAATTGCATTGTTCGTTGGGCCTGAAAGTTTATATTTCCATATTTTTTATAATGCACAGAAACTACCATAATTTCTGATCAGGTAAAGCTAAGATTCTGACCGAAGCTCCAGTACCATCTTTCAATTTCATTGGTAGTGCTAGCAGTGTGAATCCCTTGGCTAAAACAATGCAACATATTAAAATAACCATAAAACCCAAAGTAACCATTACTAACCAGGTAACGTTTCAGTTATCTTGACATTTTCTAAATTGTACATTTGATTTTTGGAAAAAATGACGTGTGCTCTAAAAGTTGTGCTGCTACCTGGATCTACACTAGCGGTATCGACACCAATTCCATAAAATTTTCCAGAGTTGACCAAATACTCAGCTGCTTCTTCAGATATTCCTTAAAAGAAGTTTCGAGCATGAAGAGTAATCCCAAAGAAAACAATTTGGCGCCTATCGTTACGAATTAAATTCCAAACTTGAGAATAAACATAAAAAGGCTTCCCAGAGGTCAATTTAACCGCTTTCACATCAGGAATAATCCCTCATTGCCTCAAGAGGAATGGAAGGGGTGAAAAAATAGGTAAAAACAGCAAAAAAGCAGTAACTTTTTAGTTCCGCCGGACTTAGATACATTTCGGTACTTGTATTTCCTCCATGTTCACCCCTTTTCAGGGACTAAAAGCAGTTTCGCCAGCTAAAGTTACTCGGCTTTATCTTATCACGATTAAAATAATCCCAAAAATAATATAAAACCCGAACCAACTAGCAACACCATTTTCAATATCTTTAAATATTTATTTACCCGTTTCTCCTGGTTTGCAGGTAGTTCCCGAAAATCAAACTTGGTGAGCGTTATCTTCTCGCCATTATAAAAGTTATCCCCAAAAGTTATTTGAAAGCCTGAAGAACTCAAAAATAACAGCATTTCTCGCTGTTCTTACCTATATTTTCATAACTTTTGACTGCTTTAGCGGTAATTTTGGGCGATGAAACCCAACGAGCGTTATCTTTTCAGGATTATAGTAGTAATCATCTCCCAAAATTATTTCGAAAATCCCAAAAGCTAATGTATCGCTATTTTTACCTACATCGATCCTCTCCTTTGGGATATCGCAAACTGTCAGAGATACGAAGTCGCTTAAATGGGGGCAAACTTGCGTACCTATTTAGGTAATCAACAAAGTTTCAAAATTCAAACTACCTCCTACAAAATAACGGACATTTTGAACATCTGCTATGATTTGCCCCTGCTTATTTATGATTGTTATTGTTATTACCATGAATAAAACGAGCTTGTTGTGTTTTGGTTACATCATACCTTTCTTTATAATTTTCACCCAACAGCAAATTCACGCTCAACCAACTACTGAATTTAGGACTGAAAAAAACAAAGTTGGTGATGGAAGTCGAAAGAAAAAATATCGAATTAAAAATTTGACCACGCTATATTGTAGAGCAGAATATGTAACAATGGCAACATTCGATTTATTTTGAAATCCTATTTCAAATCAAGTCAGGAAAAAATAGAAGTAATTTTGTGATAAATCTGGTATGCGAAACAGACGACAATCTGATAATTTCAATTCGTACCTAGGAAGTTCTGCTGTTTGTAAAGTAACTGATGCTTGGCAATGTCAATGTACCTGTATGACGTATTATTCATTTTTGGGATTAGAATTAAAAACTCTATTCGTCTGTGCAAAAATACAACATGGAGACCATAAGAATGAATAATAATTATACCATCTTCTAGAGAAGAAAAATGTTACTGTGCAAATTATTTTGGAATACCACTACAAATAAAGTCAACAAAAAATTAAAACGATTTTGGGAAAATTCGGTTTTTTTAGTGTCTCTCTCCGCAACTTTGCCTCCATTTAAGCAACTTCGTATCTCTTACAGTTTCCGAGATCCCAATGGTGAATTTGAAACACCTTACATATTAACATCTTTTTTTCCTTTTGAGCTACTTAGGGGTGGTTCTGAACGACCAAACTTCTAACATCTATAAAAGTATCTCCAAAATTGTCTCTAAGTCCCGTATCGTCAGTCGTCCCTACAATTGTAGGGCGCCTTTATGGCCTCCTTGATTGTCATAGTTTTCTACTTCTCCGTGTCAGCGCTCTATTTTGAGGTTATGTCACAAACATCTATTTGCATCAAATTCTGCTTGCTTTTGAGTTATATCATGTTTTATCAGCTTGAAATTTCCTACAATATAAAAAGAAAACATATCTTCACAATAGGAGAGCGCTGACGCTGACACGGGACAAGTGTAATCTAGAAATTTTTGAAGGACAGAAAGGAGTATGACAATCTAGGAGGCCATAAACGCGCCCTACAATTATTGTAGGGACGACTGACGATACGGGCCTTAGGCCCATGATATAACTCAAAAGCAAGCACAATTTGATGCAAATAGATGTTTGTAACATAACCTCAAAATAGAGTTCTGACACGGAGAAGTAGAAAACGATGACAATCAAGGAGGCCATAAAGTCGCCCTACAATTGTAGGGATGACTGACGATACGGGCCTAAATCTGGCGAATTGCAAAAGTTATATTTTTTTAATAACCTGTTTTTCACCCCTTTTGAGTCAGGGCCTTATCGTCAGTCGTTCCTACAATAAATTGTAGGACGCCTTAATGGCCTCGTTGATTTTCATAGTTTTCTACTTTTCCATGCCAGCGCTCTATTTTGAGGTTATGTCACAAATATCTATTTCCATCAAACTGTTCATGCTTTTGATTTATATGATGTCTTATAAGCCAGAAAATTTCCTACAAATCAAAAAGGAGCCATAACTTCACAATAGGAGAGCGCTGACTCTCACACTGAACTGGTGCACTCTAAAAATTTTTGATGGAGAGAAAAGACTTTGGCGAACAAGGAGGCCATATAGGCGTCCTACAATTGTAGGAACGACTGACGATACGGCCCTTCGGGCTAGTTTCGAAAAACCAATCTTTAAGTGCCCTAGTTTTTTAAAAAATCAAATAATTTATGTGAATTAATCTCTGAAATAATGAGAGTGTGTTTATATTAAATTTAAGGTTAAAATGATGTCTACTAAATAGCTTGAAACGCTTAATACTGCGTTCACTAAAACATGAGCTTAACTGTTAATAATCAAAATCAATGAATTTCGTGGTCATCCCTCACTTCATTCGTTTTGACATCCCTCAAAGTATTTGTATGTCCCAGGATTTTTTATACTGAGAATACAGTAAGAATACAATAATATGATATACATATATATATATATAAAATAGTGCTTGGAAAGTTTCGCAATTCCGAGTTTTTCTCTAGATAGCAGAAAGAAACGAAATTTTCTCAAAATTATTTTTTTTATTTTATTCAATTATTTATTCTCGCTGGGAATATTTCAGCCAACTGTATCCCGATATATTTTTCAACTTTCTCAATTCAATATAAAATGCTGTTCATTCGTTAAACACAAGAGTGAAGGTCGTTACTAATTCTGATCTTCTACTACAAGGGTATGCGAGGTTTTCAGATCTCTATTAGAATACATGAATACGAATTTGACTGACAAGCACGCACCAAAACCAAATTAGTATGTTACCGAAAATATATAAAATTGGCGGCTCTACATACTTATGCAGGGTGCGGCAGAGAGGATGGACGGTTTTAAAAAAATCATAAAATAGTTAATTTTTACTCGAAAACAAATTTATTGATGGAATCAGGTTCACAAGGAAATAGCATTTGAGACAGTCAAGTGTGGAAAATCACATCAGACATGTGGTGGCCGAAATCGTTGATGCAGTGCTGGAGGCGTTCTGGAAGTTCGCGTAGACTCTCTCCAACATCGCTCTCTCAACTTGAGTGAATTCCACGCGAATTTCGCCCTTCAATTCGACCAGAGTTCGGGGCTTGTTCGCATATACTCTAGCCTTGAGGTGTCCCCATAAGAAAAAATCGCATATGGATAAATCTGGGGACCGAGGAGGCCAATGAACATCGCCAAACCTGGAAATAAGGCGACCAGGGAAGGGAGGGTGAATAACGTCCATGGATGCTCGGGCTGTGTGGGCGGTCGCCCCATCCTGCTGGAACCACACACGTCGGATTGGAACACGTCGCCGTCGTAATTCAGGGAGAAAGAAGCTGGTGATTATGTCGACGTAGCGCTCTGAGTTCACGGTAACATCCCGACCATTAACGTCTTCGAACAAGTAAGCGCCAATGATGCAAGTTTGCGATACAGCGCACCAAACCGTTACTTTTAGGCTGTGCAGCGGTCTTTCGTGTAACTGTTGCGGATTTTCATTAGCCCAATAACGACAATTCTGCTGGTTAACCATGCTGTTTAGGTGAAAGTGGGCTTGGTCACTCATAAACAAATTGAGGTTCTCATTTTGATCGATCAGTGCTTCCATCTCACGTGCGAAGTTCATTCGTTGTGCATAATCTCCGGGCTGTAACTGTTGCACAATGGCCAATTTGTAGAGGTGAAAGCGGAGATCCATATGCAAAATTCGCCTTACCGAACGATCACTAAGGCGAAGTGCAGTAGCATGTTTCCGGGCAGATCGAGTCGGACTGCGAAGAAAGAACTGTCGAACGCGTTCAACATTTTTAGGAGTTCGAACTGTTCGCGGCGCTCCTCTTGGTCTTCTGTTGATCAGTTCACCACGCCTGCGAAGTGATTCAACCCAACGAAGGATGGTGTTTCGAGAGGGAACAGCTCTATTCCGATGAATGTTGAAGTGGCGACGAAACTCATGCTGTACGACGATGACTGACTCATTATTTCGGACGAAACGATCATAGGCGAAAACGCGGTGCTCCACCGTCCAAGGCTCCATAATGACAACTGGTAAAATAATGCTAGGATCTCACGAGTCAAACGGCACCCTCCCTACCTCTCTCGTAGACGGTGGCCCACCCAACCCAAAAACGTCCGTCCTCTCTGCCGCACCATGTAGTTGTTATCTATACGAATATAGTAGAACAATGTGGACTCAGTATTAAAAATACGATCCGATCATTGATATACAGAACCCCTGAGTTCGTCTATTTTATACATTTTCAGTAGCATAATGATTTAGTTTTGAATTCTCTTAGTTGGCGCTGGCCACCCTGCCAAATAAACCAAGTTTCTTTCGGTCAGAGTAGGTTTCCACTGATACATATCAGAAAACCGCTATGGTGGAGCTGAATGGACTTATTAGTATTAGTATTCATAAACTCATATATGCCAAAAATATGATCATGGAATGTGATTTAACTCCCCAGTGTACATGAGAAATTTTATACGCCGTCTCAGCGATGCAAACAATGATCGTTTCTTGGGGTTACGCAAAAAATCTCGTTTAATGGCCCCGAATGAAGTTGGAACAAGGGAATATTATTAGAATAGTTTAAACTACAGTACTCTACTAAGGGATGTTTAGCGCTTGTTCAAATGTAGCCCTATATTTACCTGGAAAATTGAAGCTGTCACCTTCTAAGCCCATGTATAATGTTCTGTTGTACCAGTATTTTGACCATCCAAATTTTACTAATAAGACTGTTTCGTTCTCAAAGCTCCCATGCTCCTTCTCCCATCGTTCCAAGTCGGCAACTTCTAGCATTGTGGCTTGTCCAAGCTTAGCTGTTTTATCTTGGAGGTCTATGAAAGCACCTACAAATCGATATACTACATGTTTAAGGCTTGCAAGGTGGGCTTGAGTACGAAACCTACCTTTAGCAATTAACCTGTGTGGAGGTACATCCCCAATTTTCCAGCCGGTCTCATAAAAATGGTAAGGCGCATCAAAATGGGTGCCAACATGTTCTCCGCTACAGAAGTCATTCACTGAATACCTACAAAATATCGGAAGATATACTAAAACATATGATTTGCCAGTTATGTCTCACTATCATTCGACTACGTTTTATTCAAAACTACGAAATGCTATTGGAAAGAAGAAATATTACCAGTAACCATTTCTTTCTTCAGCTACTTGCTTGGTGTAACTAAATCGTTGCTGCGATTTGCTCCAAAATATCGTTTGGTTATCAAAAGGCCAAGTTAGATCTATCACCTGTAATGAACTACATTTGCAAATGATACCCAAAAGGAATATTAACGATGAAAACTGCATCAACAAATTTATGTTCATTATAAAAGTTTCAAGAACCCTAAATTTATACTTCAGACATTATGCATAAATACGTGCTATATATATCATGCATCTATAGGCACTGGGGGTCAAGAGGCCAGTAGAGATAACAATTATGTGGACAATGAATACACAGTGGGTCAAAAAAGTATTGGCATACCATATTTTTTTCTTAAATCTCAACGAAAAGATAATTTTCTATAATAAATTTTGTTGAAAATTAACATCCAAATAGTAATTTCTAATAGAAATATATAGAGCAATTTGAAAATAGTAGATAGATAGATAGTTTATTGTCCTATTAGATCATGTTACATGATATAAGACTTGTCAATTTCAATATGAGGGTCATATATGCGTTTGAGCAAATATGCCGGAAAAATACTTATAATTATAAAATAATTAAGGACATTACAATTACAAAACATTCTAACAGGTTAAATCACATTATAGGTACAGCGTAAGAATCGTAATGTGTTCTCTGTAACGGTAAAAATATACATATACAGCGACTTTTTTTATTACAAAAAATGTTCGTCTAGCCGGTAAAAATCATTGAAGCTGATACAAAGAGAAGCGGTAGGAGAATCTTTCATGTGTTAATAAAACTCATGTAGAGAGTAAAAGCATTTTTCAACCAGATATTTCTTGAGATGGTTTTTCAGCGCAAGGATATTAGTGCTTATCCGCAACTCACTCTGCAGATTATTGTATACCTTAGTGCACGCTAGAGTGGAAGATTTTTGGAATAGGACAGAGTTATGTGTCGGTATACTCAGATCATGCCCTGTTCTTGTGTTGTATTGACTATTAATCGCGTTGTTACGAACAAATCTATTGCTATGTTCAAATGCGAAAATGGCACATTTGTACATATAGATGGAAGTTGATGTAAGCTGATTATGGCGTCTAAATATTTCTTTACAAGAGTCCCTCTTATTAATATTAAAAATTAATCGAAGTACTCTTTTCTGCAGGATGAATAATCTGTTAATCATTGTTGCCTGTCCCCATATGATTATATTGTTAGTGAGGTGAGAATGAACTAGCGCGTAATACATATCTAAGAGTGAGTTTAGATGGATGTTAGGCTTTAATTTCAATATTGCAAAATAAGCACTGTTAATTTTGTTGCAAATGTGATTTATTTGTGGTTGCCAGCTTAACTTACTATCAACATGAGTTCCTAAGAAGACAGTTTGATCTGAAAAGCTATCAATATCCATGCGTGGTTTCTTGTTGAAGAAATGAATATCAACAGTCTTATCTTTATTTAAAATGAGGTGGTTAGACTGGCACCACTCGCTCATTTCACTTTTGTCTTTCTCAATAGATTCGAGAAGATCCTGCGGCATCGTGGCACTGACGACGATAGATGTGTCACACGCATAATTAATCATGAAGCCAGACAATTTCAAATCATTTATGTATACAATAAAGAGCAGTGGTGCAAGTACTGAGCCTTGTGCCGCACCTATATACACGGAATATTGAGTTGACGTATGACCATTGACCTTCGTTTTCAATTTTCTATCTGTGAGGCAAGACTGGATCCAGCTGAGAATAAAATCCCTTATACCTAAGCAGTACAATTTTTCCACGATAAACGAAATATCCATTATATCGAATGCTTTCGAAAGGTCAAAAAATAGTCCAGCAACGTATCTATTTTCATCTACTTCTCTATATATATGGGAAAAAAAGTCAAAGGTCGCCGTTTATATAGATCGTGAGGGTCTAAACCCATTCTGGGTATCTGATAAGACATTATAGCGATTGAGAAAACATAATATACGTTTATACAGATATTTTTCAATGACTTTAGATATCATCGATAAAAGTGATATATTTCTGTAGTTTTCAAGGTCTGTACGGTCACCTTTTTTGTATACGGGAATAACAATAGGTAGTTTCAAGCATTTCGGGAATTTACCTTGCTTCACTGATTTATTAATAAGGACTCATAGGGTGGAAGATATTTCACGTTTCACAAACGTTATCACACGCGTTGAAATTCCATCATTTCCACTGCTTCTTTTATCTGGAAGGCTGCTGATTACTTCCACGATCTCTTCAGTGGTGACATCCTCGTAGAACATTGATGAGAATAATAATAGGAATTTTGAAATTCCATGAACACAAAAGTATTGCCATGATAAAAAACAAACAGTTTTAACAAAATGTAGTACCCTTTTATCATACATAAGCATCAATTATGACCATACTCCATCTTGGCATAGAATTTCTCAAACTCTTAATCTAAAACAAAGAAATGGTTACCTCACAATCTTCCTGCACAATCGCCCAATCCCAGAATATCAACCCCATTAAACATTTGTGGTGCTTGCTGGACCTGAAGGCTCGAAAAAATTAAATTTTTGAGAAACAGATGTTCTTAAGCAGAAATGGGACCAAATTAAACCAGAAATAGCTCAGAAATTCTATGCCACGGTGTCTTCAGGCCATAACTGATGAATAAGTACATATGATAACAAAGTACTTACTAGATGTAGATAGAAACTTGTTTACTTGTTTTTTTTTCTGTGGCAATACTTGAATTTAATAATTCCTATCACTATTCTTATATTATTTTCAGTTCGCTCAATCTATTGTCATCAAAAATTTTTATTTGGAGGTTAGTTTTTAAAATAAGTGTAGTAACAAAAAATCACTTTTTCATTATAGAGGTTCAAGGAAAAATGGGGCGTGCCAATACTTCTTTGAAACAATGTATACAAACATATTTTAGGCAAGCTTAAGGCGCTAGTAGCTGCTTTCACAACCACACGCCAATGATATCATGACGCTCTTCTCAGATGCCAACATTATGGCATAGGTTTAGGCGGATTATCGATCAAAGACGCGATAGGTGGATGTTTTCTGAAGTGCGTCAACCATATCTGCCGAATTACAGTAAAAAAAACGTTCAAGGTATTGCACTGAACTTGACTCTTCCACGCCAACGAAAAAATGACTTCCCCAGCTTTTCAATCGTGATTCGCCACTGGATTCACCGACTGACCTTTCCATGAGTGATTAACCAATCCAAAAAGTCAAGGACCAAGCAGAAGGCTGTCGTATAATTTACGAGTGTTATTTAGACAGACAACTTGATAAAGCTGCGGTCTTACCCCAGAACATCCCATAGGTTTATTTGATTAATAAGCTGTTTAAAGTTACAGTGAAGCAATTTGTTTCGTCTATCTTCCTCAGTTACTCATTGTGAGAGGTCGTTTGGATCGTTTATGGTTCTCAAGTAATTTAAAAAAGGTGATCTTCTCAATTCTGCATAAGTTTCAGTTTAACGTATTGAGGTTAGATCAAAATATACTCAGTGAAGAAATACCTTCTTCAACTTGATTTTTTGGCAATGAGGTAGTCTTACATCAAGAATGAAACGATAACACTCTCACGAAATTTGATTGACAAGTAATAACAAGAAAATTAATAATGTGTTGGGCGACCCCGCATCTGAATACACTCCTGTATAGGCTTCGACAGAATGATGTCTGGTTGTGGCACCTCATTTCGAGCAACTCGAACTTCGTGAATTCGTTGTGGCAGAGTCTGTGGCGGATGGTGCAAAGTGGATAGCCTCCTACTCATCATATCCCACACATGTTCGATGGGATTTAAATCCGGTGAACGGGGTGGCCACGGCAAATGAGGACGGCCCTCTAGATATGGCAGTAAAGTGGTTTGTAGGTCATCATCAGCATAACGCTCAGCAGTCACATTGCCTTGAACAAAGAGAAGGGGTGATCGGCTACCATAGGCAATAGCCTCGCAAACCATTACTCCATCAGTCTACCCTTCTACGACCATCGTGCTTACCTAGACAGAATCGCGGTTCGTCGCTGAAGATGACATGTCATTCTGCCTCCCAATCTTGCCGTTCTCTGCTCCAGTTCAAACATTAACGACAGTGGTCCGTAGTCAGAGGAAGCACTAAAAGTGGACGATATGAAATAAGTCCAAAGGCTCGAATGCGGCGATAGAGTGTACGCATAATAACAAGTCTCTACCTTCTTCTCCAAACTATTGGTCAGCGATCAGACGCGTAGTAGCAAAACGGTCTTGTTTGAATTACCTATCTTGACGCTCTGTGGTACGCCTCGGTAGATCAGTTAGCCTTCTCCGTATCACTCTACCTTCTTCTACCCACACACGACACACACGCATTACGGTCATTGCAGTACAATGCGGCGCCCAATTTCGCGATAGGACAAACCAACATCTCGATATACGAGCAATAATTCTACCCCTGTCAAAGTCGCTAACAGGTGGTAATTTGTACGTCTTCGATCTCGAAGCATTTTGTTATGCTTAACACTAGTAAATGAAAGGTCAAAAACTAAAAATATCTGTACTAGTCAGCTCTCAGAAACTGATTTCTTCATAAGAACTAAGAGATAACATTTTAACAAAGGTAAACAAAAACAAAGATAAAACGTTGAGATTTGTTACAACGGCATGGTTTAAATATAATCATTATGTTGCCAAAAAAACAAGTTGAAGGAATTATTTTTTCTGGGTGTAACACTTCTAATGTCACTGAATATACATCCTAGTAACGAAAACCCTTAATAAGAAGAATATCAATTAAACAGCTGGTAGCGGCTTGAGAAAAAGATGTAAGGTAACTTATCTTTTCACTATCTTCCGCTGAGAAGGCTTGCTACGATCGGCGAGCACGACGGTCAATTATTTACTTGGTTGATTTTACACTTCAGTTATATTTTTATTATTTAAAAACTGAATCTTCAAAAGTTGTGACCTGATCACTTTTAGCACTATTCTAGACACTTCATTCTCAAGTGTGTCAGACTGGAGACATTCAAGTAAAAGGTGGAGTTGAACGACGTGGCTACGGAACGAAACGGTTGATTATGAAGAGTAAATAAAATACCCGTTAATTAACTCAGTAAGATAAAAAGAAGATATTACTTTGAAAAAGAAAAGACTGGGTTATTTAGTTGAGTTACTCTGTCAGTCAAATGAGTAACTATCAAGGATGAAATTGAACTGATACTCGTTACAGTTTATTACAAATTCAAACATCAATTCAAAATTAGCTAATCGAAT